GAGCTCGTCTGTGGGGACTAACTTAAAGTCCTTAAAGGCATTAATGGTTGTGGCAGCCCCATTAGTCCCCAAAAGGACGATCGACACACCCTTTTAACACACTTTTGCTTTAGAGTGTAGGCGGCGCCCCGTTACTGTCTGTGAAAGTCGAGTGTACTGCTTTGTGAGGTGGGCCTCTCCAATCTTGTGATTATCATGTTACACCAGTCATATACTTTCGTCATCCATTCACTTCCCAGAATACCGAATTTGGTAAGTGTGAAGCTAGCGAAACAACCACGGGCGCACTATGAGCTTGGCGTATAGTCATGTTGTTACAGGATATGCATGCCAATATATACATGTTAGAGACTGTCATTTGTGTTCGCCATGCAGTCAGGTCAAGCTATACTAGTTTTGCAATAAGTCATGTGTATGGGACCACCGCAAGAGTAGGAAGAGTATGAAATATAAATAATAAAATTCGTGATATACATGTTATGATGTTTATGTTATGACTAGTCACTTATGTTCATCATACAGTAATATATTGTCATACCAAACTTGGTATTGATACGATTATCGAAACGGCCAGGAGAGCTAAAAGTCGTTGGCAGATAGATAGATAGATAGATAGATAGATAGATAGATAGATAGATAGATAGATAGATAGATAGATAGATAGATAGATAGATAGATAGATAGATGGGCCACGCCAGCAACTGCGTAGCGATGATCCCCCATCTTTTCAAACCATGCTAAATCGCGAACGGAATACAAGCGCCGGTGGTGGGCCACGCCACCAAATTAGGTCATGATGTCAAATAACAACGCTTCGACAACGCTTGCAACAACGCTTCGTTGTGGCGTCAAAGTGATGATTGCTGGTGCGCGGTCTGCGGTAGTTCCTCCAGCTTCGCTTCACTTTATTACCTTAAAGACCCTTCATGTGGGTGTTAAACAAGGGGTGGGTTGTACTGAGATGTAACTAATGCCACAATTTATTAACGAGGCAGGCACATAGATAGACTTTGAAAAAAATATTATGGACAAGTGATAGAAACGATGTCGCGGCGAAGGCCACTCCATTCTGCAGTTGCACGGTAGAAAAGAGATGCAGAAAAGGGAAAAGGTAGAAGTGCTAGAACAGTGTCTGGAGACTTCAAGTGAATGACCCGTACGGGGGGGGGGGGGATGCGCGTGGCGGGAGCGATGTAAGGAGGTTGGCTGAAAGAACTGTGATAAAGCTTGTGGTAAACTGATAGTGTAGCGATTCTGCGGTGAGACGAAAGAGTAGACAGCCCAGATACATTTTTAAGGAATGACACACTGATATCATATGAATAGAAGAATGAATGAAACGCGCAGCACAATTTTGCACTGCTTCGGTGGCGTTTACTAAGTAAACTTGATGAGGGCTTAGAAGATGACCATTTCATTTTATCTATTATAGAAACGACACCAGAGAAGCTTATGCTCATGGGCGGCATTTCAGGCAGGCTAACAGAGAACAGTTCCGTATCAGTAGGGTTAGCTTCGTTCGTAAAGACTGAATGAAAGGCTTCAATAAACACATTCACACTTTAAAAACTACTTGCTTCTTGACTAGACTGATTAGTAAGGATAACAGAGGGGTGGGGGGTGCCACGGTAGTTTATAACTTGCCAAAAGCGTTTGGGTGAATCAGTGAGGATTTTAGGCAGTTCACTGTGCAAGAATAAATAATTTGCGTTTTAAACATGCTTTTTCTGCAATGTTGTACTTTTCCCATGCGCAAGCATTGTCTCTAGTCTTCGCGGCCCGAAAAAGGCGTTGCTTCTTGTTTTCAAGTGTTTTAAATGATTTCGTAAACCAAGGTTTTTGGCGGGTGGGATGAAAGGTTATGTTAGGGATAAATTTTTCAGCTAACCGGTTCAGTTTGTTTTTGAAAAGAAACCAGTTTTCGTTAATAGGTTGATCCCAAAACCGGTCCTGAAACGACAGAAAAAAGGCATCAAGTTCGCGAATGATGGCGTTCCCCTTGTCATATTGCCGAATTGTCTTACTGCAAGCTTCATGTATTTCAGTAACAAAGTTAAATTAGCGTGAAAGACTCTCTGATCACTAATTTCATTTAGATATGTTATGGAAGACAGGCTGCCCGGGTCAGTTGGTAAGGTTAAGTCAAGAATATTGGCGGTATCAAAAGTGACTCATGTAGGTTGGGATATCAGCTGAGTAAGATTAAAATTTAGGCAGACGTCAAGAAATTCGTCAGCTTCTGTTGTACTGGGTGCTGACAAAGTTAGGTTCGTCTAATCGATGTTCGGAAAGTTAAAGTCCCCAAAGAGAAGGACGCGAGCATTTGGGTATTTGATCGACCGTTTGGTTAAAATACTTTTAAGTTCGCGAGAGAATCCTGGACTACTTTTAGGGGGCCTGTAACAAACACCTAAGAGCACCGACTGAGATGCGGAACGACAGATCAACCATAGGATTTCGAGGTCAGAGGCTATTTTCATAGCAAAGCATGGAGTTGTTTGTTTATGGTAATTAGAACGCCCCCGCCACGTGTGCCGGGACGATCCTTTTTTAAGAGATTAAAGTTCGGCAAGTCGGCCAAAACATCACTGTCGGTGACGTCAGCTGTCAACCATGTTTCGGTTATTATAAGGATGAAGATGCAAGGTTAAACACATGGTCGCGTTAGGAAAGTAAAATGCGAATGTTAGTGAATATAAACGAAAAACCGACATTGTCTTTGAGACCAAGAACAGAGCGACTTGACGACCTGGGGTGAGAAGGGCGTTGCTACGAATTTTCTTCGACAGTTGCGGTAGTATCGTCGAAGACGTAGCGATTAGAGCCCATAAACAATGTTTTGTACTGTAGAAGGAAAGGACCCAATTTTTCTTTCGCAAAGCCGAGAAGGTACTTCCGTGCGTTCCAGACTAGTGGCGAGAAATATTCCCCAACGCTAAAATCAGTATCTTCAAGTTTAGGGCCAGTACCAAGGATAGTTTCCTCGGTTTTGAAAGAGGTGAATTTCACTAATATGGGCCGACACTGGTCTTGAGAGTGGCAACCAAGATGGTGGTCACGCTCAATTTACTTTGATTCAATAGATATTTTGAAGTGGTCCCTGCAGAACGCAGCGGCTAGCTGCTCAGACTGTACGTAGTTCTCGGATGGCGTGACGTCGGCTATTGCGTGAAACAGCAAGTTGTTCCAACGGGAACGGTTCTCAGCGTCGTCCAGCCGAGCCTGCAGTACTGAGACCTGGCTAGCAGTTTGGGAGGTGATGGTTGTTATTGTGTCTAATTCCGTTAGTAGTGTTTCGACCTGATGGCAGTGCAATTCTAAGTTGCCGATTCTTTCGCCTAGCGCGGAGATTGCTTTATCGGTGTTAGAGAGCCGGCATTTTAGGTTCTGCATGTCACCAATAAGGTAGGATTGACAGGGAGATAAGCTTTTAGGTTAATTAAGAATGTCTTCTAGGTTTGGTGGTTTGGGGTCAGTTTCGATGTCACCAAATGACATCAGAAGCAGTGAAAAAACAGCGTTTATACACTCAGACACAATACAAACGCAGCACTGCAGGCTCGGTAGCTGAATAAGGCATCGATTGCTAGATTTTTTCGCGAAAAGGCAATACCGGTTACTGACCTGCATGACGAACAGAAGTGGGTTAGATCTTGTCGTGGCACAGCCACCGAGCCCACAGAGCGCACCGGACCGGGAGGGACGACTTATACACAGTGATCCAGATGAAGTCGATGACGGTGTGGCTTTGATTTCCCTTTCGAACATCCAGTTTCCAGGTTCCAGTGTCGTAGAAACTGCGCTATCCAACGCAGGGAGGAGGCGCTGGTCATCCACGGTGGTAAGGCTTGCCGGGAAAGGGTCGATCATGTGGACGGCTGCTATTGGGCCCAGAGGAACGGGACCAGCACGCAGGATATAGCGCAAACGAAATGCTACATGACGAACAGAAGTGGGTTAGACCGTGTCGCGGCACAGCCACCGAGCCCACAGAGCGCGCCGGGCCGGGAAAGATGAGTTATACACAGTGCCCCGATGAAGTCGATGATGGTGTGGCCTTGATTTCCTTTTAGAGCATCCAGTTTGCAGTCTTCAGCGCTGTAAAAACTGCGGTGTTCAATGCAGAGAAGAGGCGCTGGTCGTCCACGGTGATAAGGCTTGCCGGAAAAGGGTTGATCACGTGGACGGCTGATAGTAGGCTCAGAAGAACGGGACCAGCACGCAGGAGATAGCGCAAACAAAATCCTGCATGACGAACAGAAATGGGTTAGACCGTGTCGCGGCACAGCCACTGAGCCCGCGACATCGTGTCGCGGCACAGCGGCATGGCTTCGGCTGCTACGTCTCTGACCGCCAGTGGTTCAAGAACAACCACTATGATTAAGGCACTACGAAACGCATTTAACAGCTCGTTACACTCCTCGACGACCACAATGATGCGAGGCACAATGCCCGGCATGTGAAATAAGCACTGTGCTAAACCTAATCTAAACGTGTGTCTAATTTCATTAGGAAGCATGAACATCTGACCAATAATTGCGAAAGCTTTCAGTGCCACATGAGGTTTAACCAACTGCTAAACATTGGAGCCGCACGTTTTCGTTTTGCCAAGATAACCATTTGTGCGAACAACTCATGCGGTGATTTTTCGTTCCTTGGTTGGTTAATTAAACTATATTTTAAACAGGGTCGAGCGGTAAACATACCGAAACCCACGGATGTCTGTTTAGAACCTCCGTTGTGCCACGGTGGGGCAGTGGTTACGGTGTTCGGCTGCTGATCGTGTGTTCGATCCTGGCCACAGCCATCCTGTTTTGATGGAGGTGAGAGGTCCATGTGTTGTGGTAGGTCAGTGCACGTTAGAGAACGCCAGATAGTCAAAATTTCTGGAGCCCTCCACTAGGACGTTCCTCATGATCAAATCAAGGTTTCGGGAATCCCAGATATTATCGTTATTAGAACCGTTATAATCACAAGTGAACAACGTTCTTTCTGCTCACCGAAGCGGGCCTGTGCAGCCGTTGATCAGGCGTAGACTCTCGCTTCGAGGGATCCGCGTCGTGAAGTCCCATGAGCCGGAACGCCTCAGGCAGCTCGCACAAGCTGATCACTGACACGTGGTCTTCTCGCGGTGGCGTCTCATATTCGTCTTTGGAGTTCTCGTCATCGGCATCTGTGCCCGAACGCCTGCAGGCACGCCACACCTCACCGAGGTTGCCCATAGACCACCGGTCCTCACGCGATATCGGTGGTGCCGCCGGTGCGTCGAAGTAGATGGAAGGCTCGTCAGAGTGCATCCTTGTGAGCACGTGGTTTGTCCATGTACGTGAGGCCTGTTCCGTCTGATGTGCGGGCATCGAGAAGTCATCCCGGCGGCTTCCGAGCGAGGGTGACCTTTCTATGCTGGGCTTCTTAAGGATGCCTTTGGGTGCAGGCACGCCACTGGCGCTCGCCGACCGCTGTACGGATCGGCTTTCTGTTACTGATTCCTCCCGGACATGCAAGGTGGCGGCTTCCTTTTTCGGAGTCTCTTCTTCTGGCGTCCGCAGATGAATTGAAGGCAGGGACGCTCTGCGTTCCTCGGCGTCGTCACTACACCGAGCGGCAACGTTTCGAGCCACGTCCACCTCGTAGACGTTGTCGTCGAACGAGGCCTGCTGCCTGAGCGGTGGCTGAAGGTGCGACCTGATGTGCTGGCCCATCGACGGGCAGCTCCAGACGCGTGGCAACCCCAGAGGTACGGGACCCTGCAGAGGGAAGCCCGCAAGAGTAATGTGGTAGTCGACCGGCTGCGAGATCGCACGGCGAACGGGCTTTTTGGCGTCCACTTCCTCCTGTATCACCATGCGACCTTCTTCGAGCCTCTTTCTTCTCTCGTCGTCGGTGTGCTTCACTGGGGGCCTCCCGGCCATCTTGTCTAGGGCGTAACCAGACGAGTCTCTCTTGACCATCCGGTGATCGGGCGAGGCGAGGGGCGCGTTTTCGTCCATCTCATCGTGGTCGGTCTCCTCACTGTCGTCGAAAGATGCCTGCCATTTGGAGGCGAGCGTCATGGCAGCCGCGGCTCCCTTGGTGACCTGCTGCATCGCAGATATGTTGTCGTCGTCAGCCATTGCGAACTGCGTCAGCGAGATGTCTCGGTGGTACGGCCTTCGGTTTAGCTTCCGGTGCTGCTGACGTTGTTCCTGGTTGCTGGCCTTGGGGTCTGTCGGAGGCGTGCTCACCGGCTGCGGAAGCTGCTGCTTGACAGCTGTCATCTGCAGCACTTCGTCGAAGGGCGAAAGTCTTTTAGACGTGTCGGCAGTGTCTGGCTGTGCGGCGGCTTCTTGGTGCCCCACGACTGCTACAATGCCAGGAAGGTTCGCAGTCGCTCCGGTGTACAGACGTGGCAGCTGCGGCCTCTTCAAGGAACGTTCTTCGCGCGTTGGGCTATCTCTTGCCGAGGCGGTGCCTGTGTCGACTATGATGCGAGGCGCTGGTTGAGGCCTTTCGTTCATGCCATGCCCATTCTCAGCACCCGAAGAGACATCTCCTTTCTTGTCTTTCACCGATTTCTGCGAAAAGAAACACAAAATATGAGGCAGGCGTACTGCGATATTTTAAATACACTGTAGCATACTGTGAGTGGGTTAATAAAGGACACCAAACCGACAATGTAATTACAAAAAATAATTGAACATTTGACTCCAGGAAACTAAGCCATTTTGTTAACACGTATACCCACATTACACCACTGATGAATATATAGGTTCAGTTATCCGCCGTCTGAGTACCAAAAACAGCGCGAAAAAAACACAGGGAGCTAAGAAAGGGACGCACACAGCGCGTTTAGGCCAGACTACTGAATGGCGGAGGGGCAACAGTAGCCGTACGTTCGCAGCCGCTTCTCAACAAGACGCCAGAAACACAGAGGGCCCACATGACGGGTGGAGTCACGCTCCCTGGTTCAGTTATTGATGTGCTTTCACTGGGACCAATACTTGCCGTTGAGCCAAAGTGTACTGCAGCAGATTACCTCACTATATGGTGAGGCAAGTGTGTCACCTCGCCACTGAATGTGATGAAAAGCGGTGTACATATACGAAGTCATTGGCCTAGTGCAACGATGCCTGAAAAGGCGACCGAAGCTTCTGCCATAAGGTGTTGTGAGATACCTTCAGGAACATTCGCTCTGCGTTCTATTTGCCGACTTAGAGAGTGGTTTCACCGTGATACAATTCAAAGTCTACTTATCAACAAAAGGCGCCGTCTTTTGCAAACGTATAGAAAAAAGAAAGACCAGAGCGTAATAGATGCCGTAAGGCTCCTCGGCAAAGACATAAATATACGGAAAAAATTGCTAAAGACGAATATTTCTGCTTTTTGGGAACTAAGTTAAAGGAAAATCCCAAAGAAATGTGGAAATTTTTGAAATCGCAGGGCAAGGAACATACAGGTATACCCTGTCTTCACGTTAACGGCACAACTGCCTCTGAGGACCATGAAAAGGCTAATTGTTTCAATCATTACTTTCTGTCTGTTTTCTCTCCAACGTATTGTGAAAATGCTCCGAGTGTCTCAGAACAAATAAATGAACAAATGGATCCCGTCATTGTGACCTATAATGGTGTACTCAAACTACTTCAGAATGTTAAAGTTAATTCTTCAGGTGGACCTGACGGCCTACCCCATTACGTCCTTCATTCCTGCCGTCAGACTCTTGCCCACTTTCTCGTTACTCTGTTCTCCAAGTCGATCGCTTCTGGTGACCTGCCTGAGGATTGGAAAATCGCTAACGTTGCGCCCATTCACAAAAGTGGCCCGAAAAGCAATCTTGAAAACTATAGGCCCATATCCCTCACAAGTGTCGGTAGTAAAATCCTAGGGCATATAATATATAGCGCCATAATAAAACACCTGGAATCTAATAGATATTTTACTAACTGCCAACACGGCTTTCGGGCAGGTTTTTCCTGTACAACGCAATTAATAGAATTTAGCCATGATCTCTTCTCATCATTTGACGTAAAAGAACAGACTGACTGTGTATTTTTGGATTTTGAAAAAGCATTTGATTTTGTCCCGCACTCGTTGCTGCTCCATAAGTTGCCTTTTCTTGGCCTACATCATGATGTTGTCCAGTGGATAACAGGTTATTTGCATAATCGTACCCAATGTGTCCTGATAAACGGCTGTAAATCAGGTGCTGTGAATGTTAGTTCTGGTGTTCCGCAGGGGTCTGTTTTAGGGTCCTTGCTTTTCCTCGTATATATTAATGATATTTTAAGTAATTTGTCCTGCAAAGTACGCCTTTACGCAGACGACTGCGCTGTTTATCGCAGTATCAAAAGCCCACTTGACATGGACTATCTTCAAAGCGATCTCGACCATATCCAAACGTGGTGTGCAAAATGGAAAATGACTTTGAATATTGCGAAATGTAAGCACGTTTCCTTCACACGCAGTCACAGCCCTGTTTTATCGAAATACACTTTGGGAAGTACGCATCTTGATACAGTGCTAGATTATAAATACCTCGGCGTCCATTTTTCATCTAACCTAACCTGGAAACGTCAGATTGAACACGTGTCCTTTTCTGCTTCCCGCATGCTCAACTTTCTAAAACGCAACTTCAGTGATGCTCCTCCAAAAGTTAAAGAACTTTTATATTTCACCAACGTAAGATCCATTACGGAGTACGCCTGCGCCGTGTGAGACCCACAGTTTGAAAATTTATGTACACGGCTAGAACGCGTCCAGAACCGCGCCGCCCGATTTGTAACTAAAAATTATAGTTTTCGCACTAGCATTACATTACTTAAATCAGAGTTGGGCTGGGAAACACTAAGTAAACGTCAGTTGCATCACAAACTTGAACTACTATATCGTATTTATTTCAATAAGACTGGTCTTGATCCTGAAATTTTCTTACTAATCCCGCACTTTGTATCTAAGCGACGCGACCATGAATGGAAAATTCGTGAAATTGATTGGCGTACTGATGTGTACAAGGGTTCTTTCTTTCCCCATTCCATTGAGGCCTGGAATAAACTACCAGGTAATATTGTTAATTGTACATCTGATGCTCTGTTTCACACGTTTTTGTCGCACATGTAAATTTTTCATTGTGGCACTGCTTGTACATTTGACGCGCTATTGTGCAGATTTGTACCACTTATTCTCATGTCAGTTCTCTTTTTCTTTTTCTTTCTTTTATTTTTTTTCATATGATGAATCATATTCATGTATTTGCATATATTGCATTTACCCCCCTGCTGTAATGCCTTGTTGGCGCTGCAGGTAAAATGAATAACTAAATAAATAAATAAATAAAGTGTAGAATTGTGAAGCACTGGTAGCGTCCCGCCATGGTGGTCTACTGGCCAAGTTACTCAGCTGCTGACCCGCAGGTCACGGGATTGAATCCTGGCTGCGGCGGCTCCAGTTCCGATGGAGGCGAAAATGTTGTAGGCCCGTGGGCTCAGATTCGGGTGCACGTTAAAGAACCCCAGGTGGTTAAAATTTCTGGAGCCCTCCGCTACGGCGTCTCTCGTAATCATATGGTGGTTTTTGAACGTCAAACCCCACATGTCAATCAATCAATCAATCAATCAATCAATCAATCAATCAATCAATCAATCAATCAATCAATCAATCAATCAATCAATCAATCAATAATTCAATAATTAATTAATTAATTAAGCACTGGCAGCAATTGACACTGCCTTTGTTCGGCATTATGTGTTACTGAAAGAGTATGGACTAAAGCTATAACGACTTGTAGCAGCCTGAACGTTGGTAACCTGCATCGTAGTGTAGTAAACGGTCTAAATAACTGTTTGGAAATATTTTTCAGTACCAAAACACAGAAAGATGATTTACTATTTAGAGCTATAGTGTCCCAAAATGCGTCTTGGAAAAAATGTACCGCGTCTGCTTTGCAAAGACACCTCAACATTCTAAATGGTAATGACCTTTTTCGAATCAGAAAGCCTAAGGGTGATTTGTGTCCAAATGTGGCAAAGGTCTGAGGGCCTTTTCAATAGATGTTAACGACCCATTTTTTTTTCATTGCCCCAGGACCTGATATTACACTGCGTAGAGGACGCCATTCAAGAATTCGGTGCTCCGGTTTATCAAAACACTTTCGACATCTCTGTTAGCGCGCTTTCAGAACTGTTGGCTTTTCACTAAACGTAATCTTTTATTTTGTGCAAGGACAAGTCTTTTCTTCAAAAGACAGCGTATTCATCGGTTCTAGTACAGCACCGGTTGTAAGGAACTTGATCGCTGTGTGCGTTCCTTTTCTGCGTCGCGCTGTTTTCTAAGCACGCATACAACCAACGAGGCCAGCTCTCCACACTTGCGAGTTACATTTATCCTGATGATAACGTTTGTTTTTAGAGAAAACTGGCACGCTAACGTGACGCGTTTCTGTAAATGGATGACTCTTTTTCTTTCTCGTTTCGCATTTACATTATGTATGTTTTTATGAGACATGCAGAAATCGCTTGAGAAAGTGGATGTACCTTATCAGTGTTTTCAAATGCTTCGTGTCAGTTATGACGGAGCGATCTCAACTGAAGACTAGATGTTAAGTAATGGCCATCTCATGCGACTTTTTCGGTTGCTTTGCTGACCATGTTTCTCTGAGAGCAACTGAAATTGCATGTTGGTAAACTGCGGTAGAGGCGAGCAAAAAACCCGACCAGTAATCTTGTACTTCCAAGACTTCAATGAGAAGATGGCTGTTTTCAGTAACGTTAAGAAGCTGAAAGGCTCAAAAATTTACATTCAGAATGATTATTCCAAAGAAACTCTCCGCAAGCGAAAACTTCTCTGGGAGTCGGCACGCAAGGATAAGGATGAAGGGCTGGATCCAAAACTTTATGACGATAAACTTAAAATTAATGACGAAACATATGTTTGGGATGATTTAACAGGTAGACGAATGAAGCTCATATTGTCCCCCGCGCAGTCGCAGTCGAAGTGACATGATCCCGGCAGCGATTCTTATTGCAACAGGCTCGTTGTATTGAATATGAATGCCCAAAGTGTTGTCAATAAATCCCAATCCCTGGAAATTGCATTACTTGTGCACAACCCCGACGTAGCAGTAATAACTGAGACTTGGTTAACCAGCGATATCACTGACGACTGCGTCTTTCCTTTATCGTTTTCGGTCTTCAGACGTGAACGTGGGTCACGAGGGGGGGGTGTGGCTGTTCTGTTAAAGAAAAATGTGAAAGCTGTGGTTTTAAATCAAATAGAAGACCACGAAAGCCTACTTCTCAAGATAACATTTTCTAGTTTTACTTTCGTCCTATGTGCACTGTACAGACCTCCCAGTTCTGATTCTTCTTATTTGCGAAAGCTCCAAGATCATTTGTTTAGTTTCCGCAAAACCAGGCTTATGCTTGTTGGCGATATCAATCTACCAGGTATTGATTGGCCTACTGGATGTGTCGGAGCCGCAGAGCACTCTGATATTCTATCCGACATTATGCTAACTCATAATTTAAACCAGGTTGTTCTTGAGCCCACCAGAATTTGCGGTACAGCTAGGTCCGTACTCGATCTTGTGTTCTTAGATCGCAGTTTTTCTGATTATTCATTACATGTAAGTGATGGGATTTCTGATCACAAGGTTGTAGTTACCAATGTCTTTCTAGAACCTAAAAAACGTTTAGCGGGAGTTAAGCATACATATGTCAAAGACTACTCCAGGGCGAGGGATGAGTCTGTTTTGGATTACCTTGACATAGCTTACGAAAGCTTTCAAGGTAATGATGTGCGACATTTGTGGGAAATGTTTAAAGAGCATTGCAAATTTTGTTTAAAGTCTTTTATACCTGATAAGAAAAAACGAACCAAAAGGGTCAATCCATGGATTAACCGAGATATTATTCACCTAAAACGGCGAATTAAACGTATCAAGAAGAGTCGCAGTCCCGATTGTGATGTCTTAAATAGGTTAGTCTCCAAACTTTCGAGCAGCGTAAAATCCGCAAGGAAACGGTATTTTTGCGAAAGTTTGCCTCAGTTCATTTTAAACGATCCAGGAAAGTTCTGGAATCACATCCGCAGTGCACGTAAATCGGTCGATCAATTATTGGTTGATGGCAAGATGGAAACATCTCGTCTCTCCATTGCTAATGCTTTCAATTCCTTTTTTCATTCTGTATTTTCAAACGATCTAGGTGATGAATTTTATATGGAGGCTCATTCGGAACAGATCGAGCTTGTTTCTTTTGAAGGAGTTTTTGAAATGCTTCTGCGATTAGATCCTAAGTGCACTACTGGCCCAGATGAAATCCCGAACGCCTTTCTGCGTCGCTATGCAGAATCTTTAGCTCGGTTTTTGACAGTGATTTTTCGTGAGTCTTTTCGGACGTCCGTGCTGCCCCATGATTGGCTTATGGCTAGGGTAATTCCAGTTTTTAAAAAAGGAGACCGTTTCCATGTTGACAATTATCGACCAATTTCCTTAACGTGCTGTTGTTGCAAGATGATAGAACATATTGTAGCTAACCATATTCTTAATGTACTGGAAAAAAATAAAACATTGAGTCCCTTCCAACATGGTTTTAGAAGGGGATTTTCTACCGTTACGCAGTTGGTCACCGCCGTTCATAGTTTTAGTTCAATCTTAGATCACTCCGGGCAAATTGATGTTTTGTTTTTAGACTTAAGCAAGGCATTCGACAGGGTTCCTCACGGTAGCCTTCTTTTAAAACTTAAACAAGCAGGAATTCCTTCTACACTTGTAAATTGGGTTAATTCGTATTTGAAAGATCGAACGCAATTTGTAGACATCGATGGTACTTATTCCTCCTCTCTAACAGTGACATCAGGTGTGCCCCAGGGAAGTGTGCTGGGGCCCCTGCTTTTATTGTTGTATGTTAATGATTTAGTGTCTGTGGTTGGCGATACTGTGAATATTGGAATGTTCGCGGATGATATCATGATTTATACTGAAGTGCAGTCTGCTTCTGATCAACATCGGCTAGATAGGGCTTTATGTGACATATCATCTTGGTGCGACAAATGGGGCATGAAAATTAGCACTACAAAAACAGTTCTTTTACGTATAACCAGGAAACAAAACCCCATAACTTTCCGGTACAAAATTAAAAACACCTTAATCGAGGAGGTTAGTAAGTTTAAATACCTAGGTATCGTATTGAACTCCAGATTAGATTGGAACGACCACATTCAGCAGGTAACTTCTTCAGCGCTAAAAAAACTTGGTCTTTTACGGCATAAACTTCGAGGTACACCTAGTAACGTTAAGCTTTTAGCGTATAATTCCATAATTAGGCCTAAACTGGAGTATGCACCGGTTGTTTGGGACCCGTACACAAACAAAAACATTAACGAATTGGAGAAGGTTCAGAGGAGGGCTGTCCGTTTTATTTATAATAAATATAAAAGAAGTGATTCTCCGTCAGGTATCATGACACTCAATAAAATCCAACCACTACACATTAGACGCCAAATTGCCCGCTTAGCTTTTATGGAATCCCTAATTAAGTGTAAGACTGGATTATCACCCACTCCATTCATTAGTCCGTCCACCACGAGGAAAACACGACACACACATAGCCACAGTTTATCCCCATTCTTTGCCCGAACAAATACCTTTAAGTTTTCATATTTTCCACGCACGGTAGATGACTGGAATAAATTGCCAGAAAGAATTTTTAGTGGAAATTTTATGACAGCCCTACACGATCATTTTAGAAACTTTTAATTACTGACGATCGGGTTTGTAGCAATGTTACTTGAAGTTGTGCGTGATTTTCTAGTTTTATTTGGATTGGAAACCCTGCTATGTTTGTGCGAAAAGTCGGTTTCACCGTGGCTTGTTTATTTTGTAGTTCTAAGTGAATTCTGCGTTTTGTTGCTTCATTGTTTTTTTTTGCATTGCATTGTATGTGCATGAACATTCTTTTTTTCTGCCCGTCCTGCTTGGACCATTAAATTGGTCTGCAGTATTGTATAAATATAAATAAATAAATAAACTGCAACCTTTGCAAACACGCGAAAGCGGAACAGCTGAAAAGCCTAATTTATCGGTGAAATTTTGCAGTGGAGGTTGCCACTTTGTGTATCATTTTTACGTCTATGAAATAAGTTACATACGCTTAAGAACTGATGGAATAAATTGACATTAAGTCTAAGTAGAATGGATATTTTCTGTTTTTTTTTCATTTGCGTTTTACTCGTAGTGTGGTGTCCTAGTAATATTTTGCAACGAAACAACTACCGAAGCGCGGTTGTGCGTTGAAGGTATATATTGTGGAAAGTTCGCGAAGCCTATCGATGTATGCCCCAGTCACCGGCGTCTACAGTCAACTACTGGAGAAGAGCAGGTAAGTGCAGTGCGAACACTTGTAAGAAAGTTTCGGGCATCTATCAATTCCTAACAGTGCTCGGACATTAGCTAATCTCACCGAAGCTTCTCATCTGAAAGGTGTTTTTCCGCACACCACTCAGTGAGACACTTGTTTGCTGTTGTGTGGACCGATAACCTACTAAGCTAGTTTTTTTTTCACGATATATTTTGCATCAATGTTAAATCGAGAGGGGCGCCCTTACAACATCGGCATCCAATGTACAGCATACCTCGTTGTTTGCTGTCGGCGCCAAGTGACATTCCCGGGATGGGTTGTTGTTGTTCCTGTTGTTGATCTCTGTGAGCGCCGTTTGGTGGGCGGGGGGCAATCCTCGTGGCGTTTGGTTGATGCTGTCAACCTCCCTCTTGGCCGCCGCCTCCCAGTGGGGCAGGATGTGTGGCCCGTGATTACTTCGCAACGTCGTTGAAACGGGACGTGGGTCCTTGGACAACAGCGCCTGCGGTGGCAAGGTGGCATCAGCAATGACTGGCACAATTATTCAAGCTATCTCAGTCGAACTCTAATATTTGCACAAGTGACAGAACGCGATGGAAGTCAATGGTTTGGCAACAAGTTACAGGTAGCGTACCAAGAGATGTCGGTAGACCGCAGTGAGTTGGGCACTTTTGAAGAAGATAGCATTGTGGTATTATAAAGGAAATGGCTATGTGGTATTAAAGAAAGCAGTGTAGTGATGTAAAGAAGACGAATGTATATGACCCAGCTATGTATGACGAAGATTGCGCCAACTTAATGGACGCACGTTTATTGAGTGCGCGCCCAAATCCATGCAGAGCAAAGTGACTGTGATACTAATACACCAGATATACCTATGATAGAACATGCAATCCTGCAACCAACATATACTGCTGAAGTTGAGGCGTCAATAAGGCTACTGAAAAGTGACGCTGCGACAGACAGTCAGTAGATTGGTGCCAAGAAATAAAAGACAAGTATCTCACCCCGTTTCGGGGCATGTTGCTGGCACTATTATGATCATGTTATCAACCGGTACTTTCACACAAAAACTCAAAGTAGCATAAGCAAAAGCTTTATTTAAAGATGGCCTCAGAAATAGTTCATCCAATTAGTGACCGATATCAGTCCTCCCTATTATGTCACAAACTTTTTATTCATACCTATAACATACAACAACATAGTTGGTTACAGAAAAATCACAAACAACGGCAATAAAGGTGTATAAATAAAAACAGGTAACAAAAAGGCTCAGCACTGTTAGTGTTTTAGTATGAATAAAACCGTATAACATTAAAAACACGGTATAGCTTCTCGTTAAAAAACTATTTACAAAACACCTATATAGCTACGATGAATCGTCGTAGAGGCAGCGATTCTGTCTGAAACGCAAAGTCTCTTCATTGTCCGCAGGTAACTCTTGGAGCAAAACCTGTGGCAGACACAATCGTTGGCCGGATCCCATGAGCCGAGGCAGCCAACGACGATCGCGTGTATAAATGACAATAAAAAAGTGTATAAGTGGCGTGTTTTGAAAGTGTGTATAACCAAAGACTCATTTTTTGACAAAGTCCTATCTAGTAGCCAATATGACTTAAAAAAAAAACAGATCAACAGACAAAGCATTGTGATGTATCAAGCAATATACTTAAGAGCGTTGACAGCCGAAATTTCACACTTGGTTTATTTCCAATATTCAAAAAAGGCCTTGATTCTATAAAATATATTATCCTACTGGAGATGTTCTATAGGTATGGCGTGCGGGGAGTAGCATTATATCTCCATAAATACTGCCTGAGTCACCAGTATAAAGTCGTGGAAATGAAAAACGCCACATCATCCACACTCATGCCACCACAAGGAGCTCCAGAGGTGTCAATACTGGCTCCGTATTTATGTCTGGTTTGCAATAGTGATAATACAACTATGCCGAAATATGCATCGAAAAATTGTTATATATGTCGGCGCAGTGACATACCTGATTTTTTTTTTACGTCCACAGTGCTAACATGTGGAAACTAAGGCCAACAAGTAACTTGGATCACTCTCGGTTTGGCTAAGACAAAATACGTTGCAGGTTAATCTAACGAAAATAATCTATATGTTATATTGTGGCTCTAAACATATAACTCAGCCGGGAAATAGTTCTGACTTTTCAAAAAAAAAACAGTTAACCAGGTTCAAAGAGCATAAATTTCTCGTTGTCTGGTTCCAAGAATATATTTCGTGGAATGTTCATGTTAATAACCTGGTTACTTCAAGTGCCTTGAGCTGTTGGTTACTTCCATAAAACTAGTCGAGAGTTCGACGGAGTGTAGTCCGGTAGAATAAAAACATTGTCTAATAGCTTGTGAACAATGGATACGTATGGATACCGAAACTTGGTCCCTGTTTTGTTTTGACATTAGCCAGAGGCCTGCTTTTTGAATAATTCTATGAAACCGCACCCTTGATACCTACAAGGCTAAGGCGAAATGTAAATATTTATTACCAGATAATGATTATAATAATACCAGCACGGAATACTGACCTGGGGTACAACAAAAACCAACTAGGTTTATCATTTTACAAAAGAGAACATTGCGCATTGGGGAAAACTACCCATGCTATCAACGTCATTGTTATTTTTACCATAGCGAATACTTTAAGCAAAAAAGTTTTATTTCAAATTGCCAAAACATATCATTGTACTATGTTTAAACGGCAGCAGTAAAGAAGCCCTATGCGATATGAGAGGGAAGACGGGCACTAAGAACAAGGAACAACGTGCGAAACGAACAACCAGTTACTAAGCATGAACAATCGTAAATAATTGAGAAGGCAAGATTGAATTCAATATGACTGGAATCGCATTGAAAGATAATATGAAGAGAGTGCTTCTAACACATGGCTGAAGGGAGTGATTGTTGAAATGTATGTCTATGTATCTGTATGTATAAACTGCTTTAACTTGTTTGTTTTTATTTCTGGCTTTTTGAATACATATATGCTCATGGTCTTACCGACATATCGGTACTGCTCTAATTTTTATATGCAACATTTCATTATGCCATCTGTAAATATTAGCCTTATTTTATTTGCAGCCGTATTTTTCACATTCTTTATTTTTATATTCCTACCTACCGGCAACTCTTTTTTTATTTCTCGTCATGAACTACCTTTTGAAGGAAATGTAGTGCAACAACTACACGAGAATAATGGTGTATAAGCTTTTGCATTACTAATGCACTGTATCGCAAGTGTACGTACGTTTTTTTTGTTTCCGTTCACTTCCACTGACCTGGTTCTGTAAGCGTACTGAGATTTAGTACATGTTGTATGTACAGAGACATCTGCTAGGCGTTGCTTGCTTTTGACCTCTTGTACGTTTCATAAAAAAGTATGCAAGATGCGATAACGATTTATTCATTCATTCATGCATACTCCTTCACCACTGGTGTGTTTCACAATGTAAAACTCCGGCAAGGAAATGAATACAAATGGTAAAGCAGGCTGACGACAATGCAAACAATATTGCTGCTTGGGAAAACTGATTTGGGCACAGGCAGTGCTCTGATGGTCAAGTTAGACAAAATGCGTCTATGCAGCGCATTGCCTATATTTTCGTGTGTCTGTTCACAACAGACACGTCAACCGATATGTCGGGCACTTTGTTCTTCGAGAAAAGTGGCGATGTGGGCTTGTTGGTGATGCATTTGAAAGAAATTTATGTAGCACGAGGCGAAAAAACGGACACAGGAAGGAATAGACTGAGAGGACAGAGCGCTACTAGCAACAACATGTTTATTTTTGACCTCCAAGCCGCCTTTAAGCCATAATCGTCAGGCGAGCAAGCAGATAAGTACGTGTATTCAGATAAATGCACGAAAATGTCATCTGCGTACCTACAAGAAAAAAACGAAAAATAGGACAACAAAAACACCACAGATAATATCACGTTTCACTGTGTTCGAAGGAAACCCAGTTCCTTGGGTGACAAAGCAATTGAAGGCTTGCTGATACATACATCTCAAAGAGCATCAATAAGCTCGGCTTCTATGATCAACCGAGTCATCTCGTCTTTATGCCGACTAACGATGATTGTACTCTGGAACGAAGGCCGGCATCCACACGCGTGAATGTAAAGAACGAGGAAACTTTCTGGCGGCAGTTCATCCGCCTTGTAATTGTGTTCTTTCAGTCGCTCATTCACACACCTACTGGTTTGGCCGACATATTTTCCCCACATGTGAACAGAATAAGATAAATAACGAACGAAATGCACTCCACAAATTTGTGTGTATGCCACTTTGGGCACAACACCCTTTCCCAACGTGATTAATTCGTCAGCACACACAATTTCCCAAGTTTATCACGTACTAAAAATAGCACCCTAATATTGTCCCGAAGTGCCACTTTCTTTAGGTTATGTGACAGCTGGTGAACATATGGAATTATGGCCGTGCTTCTTGATTGTGCCGGTGAATCAACATGAACATTAGATTGGCTTGAACTTGCACGAATGCTTTTCAACTCTTTTTCCGCAACTGAAACTAAAACATGATCCGGATAGCCCGATCGTTGCAAACGTGTGATCTGACTATGGAAGCTCTGCTTCATAAGGTGCACACATGACTTGTTCAATGCGTTTTTGAGGCAAGTCATCGCGATGGCTCTCTTCATTAGTTTGGAATCACCGGAATGAAATGGAAGTAAAGATTTCTGAGCACGCGGATCATAAAACCAGCAGAGCTGGTTGTCAGAACACTGAACACTTAATTTTAAAAACCTTAATCATCCGTCTTTAGGCCATTCTACTGTCACTTCAAGGGGCTTGAGATCATCACAAAACACAATAAACACATTAGTACTCTGACTTTGGAAAATTTCCCCCCGAGCTGTCAATAAATAATAAAATCATATACATATCAAAACACTTTCTTAGCCGTCGTCTCTGCTAGACGATATGCCACAATTATATCAAGTTCTGCCAGAAACAGATTGCTCAAAACAGGCGCGATGTAAGAGCCGATACATATACCCTGCTTTTGCAAAAGACTATCATTGTTCCATTTCACGAAAGTCGATGTAGATGATGTTTCAACAAGGTAAGAAAATTATCGGTGGATATACCTGACTCAGAAGAAAACTTATCAGCACCAAATTCATCAATGCTACTTCCAACACATTTTAGCGTTTGTGGTTGAGGGAGGGAATAGTACAGGTCTGTCACGTCAATTGAGAAGGCTATTAGGCCTTCATTTTTACGAGCTTCCTTGAAACTTAAGGTACTATCTGAACTCTTGACTAAAAACGGATCTCTCACTTCGAGAGATTAAGTTTGTCTAACAAAAAAGCAGGGAGTTCTTTCTGCCAAGTACCTATTTCCGAGACTATTACTCGAAAAGGAGTGTTAACTTTGTGAGTTTTTGCACTAAAAATGCATCGAAAAATTTTTTACGCAAAAACTCACAAAGTTAACACTCCTTTTCGAGTAATAGT